CTAACCGGGAGAAGCTGACTGCAGCTGCAGAAGACAGCCGGCTGTTACATACAGGTTATATCAGGTTTAAGAGTCCTTAAGTTTCACGAGCTGCAGATTCAGGACAGCTGATTGAATTGAGCGGTGATGATGTTAGTCAGTCAGCAGTTAAATAAAGAGTCTGAGCTTCGGCTCTGTAACGAGGTTTGAGGGTCCAGATTGACGTCAAACTTTAAATGTTGTCTCTGTTCTGTCTCTGTTGGGTTGTTGTCAGTGATTTATCTATTATGTACTTAATTCAATATGCAGAGAGCTTTCCCTTGCAGTCACAGTGTGGTTAATGAGAGGCGGATCGTAGTGTTAGTACAGTGTCACTGACAGGAGGACTCCCCTGCACTGCTCTTACATATGAAACACCTCCGAGCTTTGGCCGGCTGCCCTGAGACATCACTGTGTGATGACTGACACAGGTGTGAGAGTGTAAATCAGTTAGTTATTTAAAATGTTACACACTCAGCTCCACCTTTAATGTTTGTAGATACAGTCGTTCTAACAGCTCAATCATTCTCTGAGTCAGCCAGGACATTATGTACACTGGGAGAAGTTATTTTAACTGAACAAAGTAACATAAACTCAATTTCAGAAGTGAATAAAGGTTCTTAATCAAGCAGCTTTTACTAGTGACATTAAGTTTGTTTTGTATGTTTGTAAAAATGACCAAGAATGTTATTTTAACTTAATAAAATGTCTTTTTTTTACTTCAAATTTAAGATGTAATCAGTTATCTAGTTTTACAGTGTATATAGTCCAACAAAGTTGATTTTTCACAGAAAGACTGAAGGTTTTTACAGTTTTTATCAATGAAAAGAAATCAGGGGACAAAACAGTCTCTGGATTAAATACTTCAATAATAAAATGTAATATTAGTATTTTATGCCCAGTGTAGTGAAGTGTTATAAATGTTGAATAATCCCCTCTAATATCTCAGTTTAACCAACTAATAAACTCTTTCTTTCTGTCCATCTGGATACAAACAGAGCTACGGCAGGCTGAGGCTCACAGAAGATGACATTTGATTAAAAAATAATAATAATAAAGGTTAAAGGGGCTTATTAGTGATATGGGTAGTAAATAATAGAGCGTTACCACTAGCATGGTGTTAACGTTTGAGTATGAGAGTAACTGACAGTTGATGTCTGACTTTAATTAACGCAGACAGAAACACTAGAGCTTATGACTCCCATGTGCACATCGTGTTATTATCTCTGACATACAGGTTCTGGTTCTGGTTCTCTCGGCCACAGACCACAGACCGACAGCAGCACAGACAGAACTGTTGACAGAGCCGCACTTTCTGACGCTTCAGCACTTTTAAAATGAGACTCAGAGGCTGAAACGGTGTAAAAACAGTCGGTTTCAGTTGCAGAAAAGAAGCTGATAGGAGACGAAAACGGGAATATTTTTAAATTCCTGCGTCAGAAATAATATGGACCACAACGTTCAGCTGGGAGGAGAGCAGGCCCGGTTACCGTCCCAACCCACAGACACTGTGATCCCATCGGACTATTCTTAATTATCTTCTGATTAATAACGTTAATTAAAATACCACCGATATTTTATTTGACATTTTGACCTGGACTATTTTCAGTGTTTCCTTCTTTAGTCTGAATTAAAATTTCCATTTAACTGCCAGAAGTCACCAGAACTTTCTTAATTCTGATACCATCCGTCTGACACTGATACAATTGTCATTTATCAGCCTTTTCCTCTCCAGGGAAGTCAACAGCTGCTGTTCTGTGCCTCTGACACACAAGAGTGAGAGCGACCAGACAGCTTGTATAAACCTGTATCAGATCAGAACAGTATCGGCCAATACGCAACGTTCAGGTACCCTGAAGGAAAAAATGGTATCAGAACATCTATCAACAACAAAAGTGGAGCGGGTCGTCCTGCAGTACTGGTCCACACAGTCTGACCCCCCCACTGCATCCAGCTGCACCACAGATTTACTTTCATGAAAAATAACTGACACAACCTTAAAAAGCCCCACAGCCCTGTACTCAGCACTACTCAGCAGAATCAGAGCGAGTGTGATCAGCTGGTTTGAAATGTGCTGAGTTAATCCTCCTCGTGTCGGCTGAAAGAGACCACATCACTGCACAGCCAAACCCTGCAGAGGTACCACAGCCGGTGTCACCGCGAAGTCCACCACAGTCAGAGTGTGAGCAGAAAGTCTCTACTGCTAATCATCTACCTGAGATAAAACAGGACGGTTTCGGAGCATGAATCCTAATATTCTGCTCACTCTTTGACCTTTTCTTAACCCCACTAACATCCCATAAACATACAGTCTGTAATATCTGCCACTAGGGGGCCTCCTGGTTGAGATTCCTTCATAAACTGACTGCAATGATGCCAATGGTGGTGAAGACAACTCCCATGATCCCACGCCTGCTTCACCACCTCATCTAACTTTATTTTGCTTGTTATTTGATGTTGAGAAGACCCTCTAGTGCAGAAAGTCATCAGTGATATTTGGATTGTCCTTTAAGGCGTTCAGGGAACGTTGAAGACAGTAATGTTATAAAAAATAATGTTCCTGTGTTCACTGTCTGTTTATGTCACAGTCCTGTAAGTGATGTAACTCACTGCAGAGACACAGTTGTATAATATTATAGTATTATAATATTATACTACAGTAACAGGAACCAGACCTGCTACACACCCAGCTGTCTTCCAGGAATTACACACACACACACACAAAAGCCATTCTTGGGGAGTGATGCATTATGGGTGTGGGGTCCACTGTTTTATGGAAGTTCAGTGGAATTTGACACATTAGAGAGAAAACACAGTGAAACACAGTCACAGCTATTCATGCCCCCATTTGTAATCCACTGCATTCATTCATTCATTCATTCATTCATTCAAGAGTGTTTATTACTGTTTTTAGTGTTTCCCGTCCATATGTGATGGACTTTATTCTACAGATAACACAGATATTCTGTCAGACTGCAGCGCTCTCTGGTGGTGATCAGCTGTTACAACAGTGTGAGGATGAAATTTAAAGCCCAGTTTTAACCATAAATATCATCACGTCTGTCAGTAAACACTGTTTACAGATTATATTAACACCAAACTGAGATATTTTCTGCCAAAATTCAGACGTAATACAATATTTGTACTTTGTAGGTTTAAATATCAATCATGGATGACACCACACACACACACACACACACACACACACACACACACACTCACACACACTCACATGGGGCGGTGTGTTGTTGTTCAGCTGGTCCTGTCTGACCCACGTGAACTGCAGGGTGACGTCCAGTGACATCGGTCCCGACACGCTGTGTGACAGCGTACTTACAACCTGCGAGAGACAGGAGAACATTGTCAGCCCAGCACAATGTTAAATACATGATATATACTTTATTATATTCAACTGTGTTCTCTGTTAAGCTGTGTTGTTGTTACATTCTGGGGAGTTATGCCGATGGCGTTGGAAAATGGAAATATTTAATATAAAATATGGTTTATTAAACTTACATTTAATGTTTTATTGAGTTTTAAATATAATTTATATTTGTGCCTTTATTGCCTTTAATCATCTGCATTATAAGATAAGACACATGTAAAACTGTAACATACAGGTTTATATAGTTTAAAAAGATACCGTAATAAGTGTTACATATTATATTGTTCATTATTGTGTTAATTGTACAGCTTTATCAAGCTGTTTACCTCTGTTGTTGTATTAGTTTATATAATTCAGTTCAGCTTCAATGATAGAAAATGGCCTCCTTAACTTTTGGTGATCGTCACCGGTGGATTGTAAAATGATGGTAAGTCAGCATGTGAGTGTGAGTGTGTGTGATGTGAGGATGTTGTGTAGGAGTGGTGATGTAGATGTGTTATTAGTGCTGTGAGGTGGGTGAGATGATGATGACTGTAACGTTATGCAAACGACGGCTCTGATAGCGGAGCTTCCTCTTTGGAATTAGATGCAAATTTAAATATGAAGGAGGAGAACAAAACCAGTCAGGACGCAGGATTTGGACCTACATTAATTATTTTCATTAACAGGCCTGAATGAGCGATCGTGGTTTAAATATTTTATACAAATAGGATAGAAAGGAATCAGGAATATTAACTTAACTAGAACCGTAGCCTCGCGCTTACTAACGTGTGATATAAATAAATTCCTTCCAGCAGTTAAAACAGAAACATCAACTACAGACAAAGACTTCTTACAATCGATGAAACAGGCGGCGGAACACACTCTCATATTTATCACAGGGGGCGCCAGAGTCAAACAACATGAAAGTTCTCTGTGCAGCTTTAAGTTCAGTTTCGAGGTATTTAGTATTCCATTTTAA